GAATCATGGAACACTACATCAAAAACTAATGTAATGTATGGTGATTAACATAATAAAAAAAAGACTTCAGAGTCTTATGAAGTATGAAGAGATTGATAATTTACTCTCTAAGTCCATATGGAGAAATATATTTAAATAGTATTCTGTTCATCATAATGATGGAACAGTTAACAAGGACATTGATTATTAAACACTGAAGCAGATTACTAAAGAAGGTTATGGAGTTTCCATTTTAAACCATGTGAAAGAGAGGAATTAATAGAATAATTTTAGTTTTAAGCTTTCATCTGCCTAGAGATAAGAGTTTGAATCAGAAGTGAATATGTTTTTTCTTTTAAACAGTTATCTTTCTAATTGAGTAGTGTGCAAAACAGACCTATAACTTCTCTTTTTGTTGCATTGTATTGCCTTATAAACTTAAATTTCCTTATGCAATGCCTTTTCAGGTGATGGGGCAATCCAGACAGCTCAACTGAAGCTTTTAGTAGCTTTACCCCATTTTCACTTCATAATGGTCTTTTTTTTTTTTTTTAAAGATTTTATTTATTTATTTGACAGAGGGAGAGATACAGCGAGAGAGGAAACACAAGCAGAGGAAGTGGGAGAGGGAGAAGCAGTCTTCCCCCAGAGCAGGGAGCCCGATGTGGGGCTCGATCCCAACACCCTGGGATCATGACCCGAGCCGCAGGCAGATGCTTAATGACTGAGACACCGATGTGCCCCCATAATGGTCTTTCTTCTGGGCTGGGGAGTTTAGGGAAAATAACTGACGACTGAGTTAGAGTCACTAAGTGCTGTCATCTTCTCTTGGTTGGTGACAGTACTAACTCAGAAACTGAATTTAAGTCAGGCTTTGAAAACAGTAAAGAAAACTTGGCAAAATGCAATATGATAGAGCTGTATCATCTTAAAATTTGACTTGAAAAGTCAAAGTACATCATGCCTGTGAGTTACTCTCAAATGTTATGGAAAAAATTACATGTGTAGATAGGCAGGTAGGTAGGTAGATTTGGAGAGAATGAATAATAAAGCAAATGCGCTAAAATGTTAACATCTGGAGAATCTGGGTGCCTTCACCCAGTATATAGGAATTCTTTGTACTGTTTTTGCAACTTTTTTATAAAACTGAAATTATTTCAAAGTAAAAGGATAAAAAGAAATGACTTACCTACAATCAGTTCCTGTCAGCTCTTTCATCTGTCTCTGTCTTCAACATGTTCATGCAGTCAGTGAAGTCTTGATTCTCATTTCTCTTTTCTTTTCTTACCATTTTTCTGAATGATTTCCGTCTTAATAGGTGACACTTTTAGTACTCTAATTCCTTGATTTCTTCCTCTCCAAGTACCTTCACCATCAGTTTCATTAACCCATTCCCAGATGAACCACATCTTGGACTTTGTCCTACATATTACTCATCTTAGAAATTTCTACTCCCTTACTATAACATCTTGTCAATTCAAGAAAGACATACAAGAAATGTCTGTTTTTCCAAAAGTTATTCCTTCTCTGTATCCATGCGTGTTTTTTCCTGTTTTTTATTCTTACAGTCTGTCAACTTTTTCTTTACATCATCTAACGCGAACCCTTTAGTAACTGATTGCTTTGCACATCCTTACTTGTCTTTTATTGGAACAAATGCCTTTGTGAAATCTCCCCAGAGTCTTCTAGTTGAGCATCTGTATGTCTAGCATGTTTTTTATTTGGTCACTATAGTCCTGATATAGTCCTTTTACATTGTATTCAAATCATTAGACCAGTTTGCCTTCCTCACTGTACTATAGAGTCCTTGAAGGGAGAGTCTGTTTCCCACTTGTCTTTGTTTTCCCCAGTACTTTCATACAGCATATCACATTGGAGGTATTCCATGGCTTATTAAATTAATGAATAAATAAATTAGAGGGGTCAAACTTTCTATACAGAAGTTGAATTCTGATATAGGATAATGCAACATGGCAGAGTGGAAAAGCATTGAGAGAGGATTTAAGCAACATTTACTACAATAGTTGGTCAAAAACATAGACGAAAGGAAAATTTTGTAAATCAGCCTTGTTACCCTAAAGTAAAATTAAATTCTCCGTAGAAGAGTATGGATAGTCTGATTTGCAGAGGAGGCTCCAAATGTCTGGTAAGCAGTTACAGTTGGGAATCTAAAAGCTCTTAGTATAGAGCAAGATTAGAAACATCTAGAATTAATCAGAGCCAAGTGACGCAGTATGGGGTTCTTCAACAATAGTAAACATTTAGAATTCAAATCCAGAAGTACATTAGGACTAGCTGAGTTTATTTTAATAATACTGTGAGGGATTATAATTACTATAATCCAGGAGGGATCCACAAAGAATCCTTTTATTGGGAAGGGCACACATCTGCTCTGAGTTTGGTGAAGATAGGGCAGTCCCGGGTGAAAAGGTGCTGATTTACCAAGAGTTCAGCAGATCATAAAATTTGGCATTCGGTAAGCTGAAGTAAGGAAGAGAGCTATAAATAAAGTAAGCAGATAGCAAATATAGATACCAGGGATGGAGTAAAGCAAACACTAGGAGGTTAGAAATAAAAAACTGAGAGGAGAAAGATGCTGAACTAGACCCAGAAATACAGAGGTAAAAATATGGAACAAGTTGTACATAGTGGTAAGATAATGGTAATATACATACAGATGTACATAGTGTCCAAAGCAGATCAAAGAGTCAAGACTTAAGATTCTGAAGCAGTTGGTATTGTGTTGTCATGGAGTACTGGGGATTTTTTATAGCTGCAAGTGCTCCATGGTTCATCTTTTTACCTTTTGGGGAATCTTTGCGCCTCATAAACTGGAGAATAGTATAGGCCCTAATAGTAACTTTCTGATACATTCCTGGGGACAAGTTTTGTTATTTTGATATTGCTTTCAGTAACTACTTATAATTCTCTTTCATTTCAGTTATGGTTGATCCTTGAACAATCTGTTGGTTAGGGGCATCAACCCCATGCGGTCAGAAATTCACATATAGGGCACCTGGGTGGCTCAGTCAGTTAGGTGTCTGCCTTCAGCTCAGTTCATGATCTCAGGGTCCTGTGATCAAGTCCCTCATCGGACTCCCTGCTTCTCCCTCTCCCTCTGCCACTCGTGCTCATTCTCTCTCTCTCAAAAATAAATAAATAAAATCTTAAAAAAAAATTCACATAACGGTTGACTCCCCTAAAACGTGACTACTTAATAGCCTACTGTTGACCAGAAGTCTTACCAATAATATAGTCGATTAACAAATATTTTGCATGTTATATGTATTATATACTGCATTCTTACAGTAAAGTAAGCTAGAGAAAGAAAATGTTACTAAGAAAATCATAAGAGAAAATACATTTACAATATTCTACTGTACTTACTGAAAAAAATTCATGGAGATAAGCAGAACTGTGCAGTCCAGAGCCATGTGTTCAAGAGTCAACTGTACTTTTAAAGTTACATGGTAGTGTTAGAAAGCATAGTTTATTGACGATATAGTGGTATTCTTTAATGTCCATTTATAAAATTCCCTAACTTAGATGTTGGGGGTTCCATTCTACTAATACCAGCCTCTTTTAGAAAAGTAGCATGATGAACTTCTGAAGCAAATGATGTAAGCATTTTGAAATGTCAAAACCAACAAATAATCTTCAGATACCTAGAATTGTTAGTTTAAATCAAAACAATATAATGTTGAAATTTCATAGATAGCTTACAGTATATAATTATGATAGCACATTCTCCCTATTTGTTTCCTCAAAGTGAAATTGAGGGGAATTTACTAAAAACAAGTAGTTTCTGATTTAGCTTCAGGCACCAACAAGATATGTCCGGGACTTGGAGTTTATAACTGGTCACACCTAATTTCAGCATATCTACAAGCAAAGAATTTCTCCTTAAGGAATGAATACTTTGTGAAAGATAGCTTATTTATAAGTGCCCCTAATTTGTTTTTATTCTAAAACTACTGTCCTCTGCTTTTCTGCTTAAAAGGATTTTAAGTTTGACAGGTTGGAAAAGGCATCGTCAACAAACAGGTGAGCTTCACCTGCTTTTTAAAGTTCAAGTATTATTTATGCTGGAAATAATAAAGTATTTGTTACAATCAGTATTTGTGCCTATTGGTCTGATTTACTGGTAAAAGAGTTTGTTTTATGTACTTGTGTGTGTGTGTCATTTTCTTCCAAAAATTTCACTATATGATCAGATATACTGTTCCTTTGAAATAGCTATTATTTACTAGTTACAGCTCAAAATAACAGCTTATGAGATAGCCAGGCTTTACAAAATAGATTTTCTAATGTATAATGTATATCTGATAAAAATGGAGGTTAAAAATAATGCTTATATTCTGTTAATTTTAAAATTATGATAATGATGATAAAAATAATAACACTTACTGATGTGCCAAACACTAAGCCAAGTACTTTGCATATATTAACCCAGTTAATCCTCAAAATAACTCAAGTAAAAATGCTATTATGTTCTCATTTTACAAACAAGAAACTTAGTCTTGAATGGGTAAGTAACTTGACCAAAGTTATGCACTTGGCAAAGCTGGAATTCTAACCCAGGCAGTCGGATACCAGAGTTGCATGTGCAGTATCACTTCCCTATAATCATTAACTTATTGCGTCCTGTTTTTTGAAATCTGGAAAAGAAATCTAGAAAATAAGGCCCCTACATCAGTGTTTCTCAGCTTTGATTGTATGCTGGAGCTATTTGGATGCTCCAACAGAGTTTGATTTAATTAGTATAAGATGTGTTCTGGGCTAAGGATTTCCAGAAACGCCTCAGGTTATTTCAACCTGCAGTAAATCATTGCCCTAAATACCTACCAGAAGTGGAAAAACTATACTGTACATGCTTAGCTGATTACAATAGGAGTAAGACTAGTAAGTACATGTTTAAAGCTATGACAGCACCTATTTCCACAAAAATATTCATTTGAATGATTTAATATGTAGCTATGGTATTTCACATATCATTTGTTTTTGCTTTGTTTTAAATACAGAGATAGCCCATAGTTATCTTGAACAAGAGACTACAGGGAGAAATAAAAGTCCAGAGCCAGATGAACAGCCAACTGTGAATTCTAAGGAAGGCATGCATCAGAAATCCGATGAATTAGTTAATGAAGCCATCCATGAGGACACAGAACTGCCAGGGCAGAGATCAAGGAATTTTCCTTATCCAGGTGATGAGACAGCTGACTCTACTACTAAAAAATCCAAGTGAGTGCTGCCAGCCCTAAATTTAGAAAACAAGATTGGGAGAACTCTCTCTTCTTCCCTTCCTCCTTCCTCCATTCATCCCTCCCTTTCTTTTTGGCTTGGGCTAAACTGGACATATAAACTTACTGGAATTTGGGCAATCTACCAGAGTTTTCTACTGTTTTCTTTACATTGGTGTAATATGTGTAGATTGCTAAGTGAAAAAGCACAAGGTGAGTTTAAATGAAGGCAAAGTTGAATATTATTTTCTGTGTCCTTTCATTTTGGATCTGGAAATAACTGCTATGGTGATATAAATGGGAAATTAATCATCAGAGCCCAAAACTGGCATCTCTAGGACAAAATAAGCCCAAAGATATGTTTTGGGTTTTGTTTGCATGATTTTTTGTTTAAATGAATTTGAATGCTTCTAGAAAAGGCCTTGTACTCTCTCCCATTTGTCTTCCTTATTATTTTCCATTCTGCAGCTTTTAACATTCACCTTACCTACTTATCCCAGGAAGAGATTTGATTTTGTGACACCTGTGACTTTTACCTCTATGGGATTGAAGTACTTTGATAATTAGTCATATATTTTGAAAATACTCCAGAATTACAAAAATTTCTATTACTATATATTCAATCCAAACAAAATCTTATTTGATATAGTATATTTTAACAGTTTTGCATAAGAACAACTAAATAAGTAAAATGATTATTTAAAAATTATTCAGTAGATATATTAATGAACATTAAACAATGTGGTAGATATATATTAATGTGTTCCTACTTTTTGGCAAACAGTTATATCATTACTAAAGTGCAGATTTGGGATATACTTTTGGGGGATAGGAGTAGGGATGAATGAAGAAGTGATAAACATTTTATAACCACATGGACAAATAAATAGTAGAGATTGGGCTAAAGCCACAGTATGAAATATCTAATATCATTGCAACAGAAGAAATACGTAGTAGGTAGAGCTGCACTGACGGTCCCAGACCTCACTGCTTAACTTCTTAGAAACTCTAATATTTACCTATGTTTACAACTTTAATATAATGCCTTCAGAAAATGGTCCATCTCTTTTCCCTTCCCTTCTTTATACTACTTGCTAACAAGTGGATACTGTTCTCAAATAGCATACAAAATGTCAAAAAAAAATTTATTTACCATTAAATGTCACAGGACTAGGTTTTCATTTTTAATTTGTTTTGAGTTTAATAATGAAAAAATGATATTCTGTCAACCAAATTGCAAAAAGTATGATTGTTGTTCCCATTTTCCAGAAAGTGAGGTAAGTTTCTAGACTCCTGACCAAAAGTATAAATTGAATTATTCACAACCCTTAAAACCTGAATTCTTTAAGTGTACTGAACCATGAATCTCTGTAGAAGTTACTAAATGCTTTCCACAGATTTAGCTCTCTTAGTTGTTAGATTAGTACCTCTGTGAAATTGATGTATTTATTCTTTTTGATCCATAGTATTTTCTTAACAGTGTATAAAAAGAGAAATTTAAAATTAAGTAACTTCACATGTTCTTTGTTAAAATTAGTCTCCCTCATTTGCACTGTAAAACTTATAGATCCTGTATAGTAGAAATCATATGTGTATATTGTTTAACAGTTTTTTTTATTACAGCATTATGGAACATAGAGATAATCATTTGCATTGTGAGTGTGTGATCCCTTGTCAAGTTACTTCAGACTTAGATAAAGAGAAGAAAATAGCATTTCTTCTAAAAGAATTGGACATTCTCAGAGCAAGCAATAAAAAGGTACAATAGAGAAAGCCTGATAGTTGTACAATGTGTGTTTATCTGTTGACCTAAGTTTGCTTTGTTGCCCATCATAATTCAGTTTCATGCTGTACTTTCATCCTTTAATGGTATAGCTTTATGTTGTTGCCATACCATACCATCAGAGTATGACTGAGGTGAGACATTGGGCATAAAAAGCCATTTCTTTAATTTCCTCCCTGGCTGGCCTCTGATATCACTTCCTTTTTCATAAATCTATGATGCCCAGAGTAGGTACCTAAAAAAAAAAATTCAAGTTTTACTGTAGTAAAAGTTTACTTCAGTATTATGGAAAGTGAAAAATACAATGTACTGATTTCGTGTTACTTAAGGTTTTTTTCTTTTTTTATTAGTATCGATGCCCTGTATTTCACCTCAATGATATATGTAATTAAACTTTAAAGTCATAAGGCTTGGCAATATTTTTACATTCCTTGTGTTGTTATATACTGCTGCATTTTGCCCAATCCAATTTGTCATGTCATGTTTTATCTTTCCTGACTCTTTCTAGTTACATTTCTTTGAGCTTTAAATAATGTTATTAAATAATGTTCATATTCTATGCCTTCTGTTTTTTTAACCTCTGCATACCTCTACATACCTTTCTGATTTTAATATTCTAGTTTTTTGACCTAAGCATACCGAAGCATGTTGTTAGGAATGTTGATCATGCCTGATGGAAAAAAACACAAATGACAAAAGCTAAGGGAGAAATTAAAAAAACAAAAAACAAAACATTTGAGGGGTTCTGTATGAAAGTAGGAGATATTTTCTGTATTTTCATTTAGCAATTATTTATTACATGCCAGTTATAAATCAGGTGCCAGTGCCAATTTAAATGGACTATGACGGGATAGCATTCTCAAAGGAGATTTGTTTCACATATTAAGATTATTATCTTAATTAATTTTGTTTCAAAATATTAGAATTACTAAGAGAAGCTGTAAAGCTGTGCTGTCCGTTATTTTATTAGGATAGTGCCTTCCAAGTCTTTTGCCTTAAGACAAAAGAACAGATCAGATTGCTTTATGCAGTAGTTATTTTTAATAATTATGTTATTCCTTCTTTAATTTCATTTGCCTGTATACACACAAATTAAGTGTATATCAAAATGTTTTTATAATTTCTATATCATTATAGGTAATTATTACTTTATGAAATATCTTAAAATTTTAAATATTGTGGGGTACCCCCTGGAGTTATGTATTTGTGCAGTTAAATGTAATATAGAAGGGCTTAGAAAAAATAATTTCTACTTCTGGGATTAAGTATATTTCTGCAAGAAATATTTCAAATAAGAATCTGTGTTTTTTCAATGTGTTTTAGCTTCAAGAAAAATTGTATAAAGAAGATAAGGAACAGAGAAAACTAAAGCTTAAGCTGGAACTCCAGGAGAAAGCAACAGAAGCTCAAATTGCTGAAAAGACAGCAGGTATAGTAGATGAGTATTAACATATGGTCTTAAAAATCATACACAAGGTTATTATATGATGTGGCTTGGTGAATACTAGCATACTAGCTTATTTGCCAAAGGAGGGGAGGCTCTCTCTGTCTTTTTTTTTTTTTGGCTGCATAGAAAATAGGTGGCTTTAACATCCTGGTACTGGTATTAGTGAGAGCTTTACCTGTATTCATACTGATTTGGGCATTAAATGCATTGTTAACACCATGTCAATCCAATCACAAAAAGGTTGTTTGTTTTGTTGGAAGGACCTGAACAAACAAGGGGAAATAATGATTACCAGTGCCTCTACCTTTCAACCAGCAGTTCACATACCACTTATTGTTTTAGCTCGTTGAGAGGAAATACTTCTCTTCTGTGTGAAAATAGTCATATATTCATTGCCAGTGGAAACCTACATTTGATTCAAAAATCTGTTTTGTGCAATTAATAAATTTTTGTCTGATGATGTGGATGATGATGGAGATAATATTTTCACTGAGAAGATTAAAATGAAAGGTTGCCAGAGTTTAAGATTATAAATGACTGCCTTAAATATGTTTTGGAGTCTATCTTTACTCACAGGTCTTTGCATGGAGAAATTTTTTTAATGTATCTGTGATATGTTACAGCTAAGATCAGATGATTCTCAATAGTCTGTGACTCTCTTCCTCACACTGTTTTATGTTAAGGATAGAAATCTCGTAGTATAATAGAAATTAACATGCAGAGGCATTTTAAAGGTTACTTATTCTAACGTTTTTGTATCAGTTGGAATGATTTTAAGAAAAAATTGTATTTTGTGATTAGTTTGAAGTTATAATCATATTTTATGAGCTACATTAGGCTGGTTGCATATATGGAAGAATCCTGGTATATTAGGTCAGACACATTCACTGGTATAGCCTGTCTATGTGAAATAGAACTAAACATCACTATGAAAATAAAACTAAAATTACCATAAATAAATACTCCAGCTAAAATAACAAATTGTTGCTTTTCTGTTAATGTTAAACTACCATGAATGTTTTGTTTCTTATTTAGTGGAGAAATATGAGGCTAATATATTTTAAGGAAAATTAGCAGTATATATAAAATGAATAATTCAGATATAAATTTGGAACAATTTGGAAGTGTCTTGGTTTTTTATAATCAAATATGTATATACTAATTGCTAGGAAGGTATTAAAAGCAGTACATTTGTTTGAAGGAGTTTGCATCATAATATGACTTTGCATGTGCCTTACAGGAGTAATTTGGCAAGATTTAGGCCATTTAGGCCATTTCACTGATGAAAAGCATGAACTGATCTGTCTGCATAGATGATTTATGTCTTGGAGGGGAAAAGTCATTAAGAAGTATTAGCTACTCTTAAAACTTTTGTATGATATAGCTAATCATCTACTTCAAATATTTACTTATTTGTATATATTTAAGACTTCCCTTTGAATAAATAGTATGAATCATGCATGCATAAATTGGAAAGAATTTGATTGCTTTACGATTATTGTTAATCAAATATTTCTTATTAATGATACAATATTATTTTAGTAAATGTTTGAAAAATGTTTAGTATTTTTTGGTAGCCTCCTAAATTGATAAAAATAGCAGTGCTATATAGTTTCTCTGGAACAAAGCAATCGAGTTAAAAGAGATACATCCAACCATTTAGTTACAAAAATGACAAAAATGAAAATCCTCCAAAGTTTTTTTAAAGTATAAATTTTCAGTGTGTATCTTTTTAATGTTTCAGTTCTATCTTCTAAAAAAGATTAAAGGTATTTTACTTGTGACATTAGAATCATCGTGATATGTCAAAAAATTTTTTAAAAACTGAATTGCTTAAGAAATCCATTGGTTTGAAACTATAAGAAATTCATTAAGTGATTCTTGGTAGACTCATCATTTTTTTCATATTTTCTTATACATACAGTCTTAAATAGCTTATTTTCTATCCAACTGGTAGTAAGTGTAGTCAAAAAGCAAAACACAGTAACAAAAACAACTATGTCAGTACCTTAATAGAAAGAGGAACATTATAGGAATATGATTACATGTGAAAAATATTTTCTTTAGTATCATATGGAAGGATAATAATCCATATAATGAGAACAAAAAAAATCCACATAAATATTGATGTTTGTTTCTTTCATTGCTTATTTTCATATTCAAAATAAAAAGTGTACTTGGTTAAGTTTATTATAAATATGTACACACATTTATGTATTATGATGTACTTAAGCAGAATATAAATGTTTAAAAAAATCAAGATATCCCACCATTAGAAGAAATACATGCAAAAAAATCTCTAAACATTGGAAATTGCAAATAAGATACAAAAATGTATGTTTGTAGATTTTTCAGATAAAATGTTAATTAAAATATGAGGTACTCAAAGGCAGTAGGAGCCATTTCCTTGCAATATATGATACAAAGATTTATATGTAAGAATATTCATATCAGTATTTGTTAGGATAGCCAGAAAATTAAAATCAATTAAACACTGGCAGAATGGTTAAATAAATCAGATGGGTTTATGCTGTCCGACATCATGCAATAACTAAAAACCATTTCTGAATAATATTTGGTGATATGAGAAGACCTTCACAACAACATTAAGTGAAAAGTAGGGGAAAATTGTATTTAAGTATAATTTTGTTAAATATATTTATACATGTACATTATATGAAACAAAAGGCAAATTTGGGTAGTTATTAATGGATGTATTAATGTTTCAATTAAGTTTTCTGCCCTTTCAAGTTTTCTGCAATGAGTATGGATTAGATTTAGTATTAGTACTACTATGATTAGAGATTAGTATTGCTAATCACTAAAGATGTGATTTTTTTAAAAAGTTGCTTGCTTTCTAATCTTAGGATGACTCCTGTGATAGGTTTGATATATAAAGACCACATAAACCAAAGTTTTATGAAATTTATATGATGGCTATGATCTTGTCATTTTACCTATGCCATTTTTGTTGTCTTTCAGATTTTCTCATTTGTTTTTGTCTTAATGTGTGTTATGTAACTTATGTATATATTTCTTCCAACCTGATTGAATATAAGAATAAGAATCTGGTGTAGTCAGGAGGCCTGGGTGGCCTAGTCGGTTAGGCGTCTGCCTTCAGCTCAGGTCATGATCCCAGGGTCCTGGGATCGAGTCCTGCATCGGGCTCCTTGCTCAGCGGGGAGCCTGCTTCTCCCTCTGCCTGCCGCTCCCCCTGCTTGTGCTCTCTCTCTCTCTCTTTGACAAATAAATAAAATCTTAAAAAAAACAAAAATACTCTGGTGTAGTCAAAACCACATAAGTTCTCTGTGAGGCACATTGAAATAATGGGAAAACCAGAAGCCTTGGAATCAGATTGAGGTTCAAATCACAGCTTTGATACTTAATACCAGCTGTGTGCCTTTGGGCAAGTTACTTATTAGCTTCTTCAGGTTTACTTTCTCCCATATAAGATGTGAATATTAACTAATTTACCAGATAATTTTGATGATAGATAATGTATAAAAGCACCTAATATATAACTGGCACTCAGTAAGTTGTAGCTAATAGTAATATTGATTATTTCTATCTTTTTAAAACTCTTAAATCTTTGATAATGTCAGAAGTCATGGAAAGATTTTTGTTCTGTTTGGCTTTTAATTAAAAATGCATTTTACTTAAATGTGAATCCAAAATAAAAGAAATGGGATACAAAGGCTTTGGGCTTTAATCTAATGTATACCTATAATAAACCTTCATGTAGACTATTAAAATAGTGTTAAGCCTGTTTCCTTTACTTCCCTGTTGGCTTTTACATCATGTGAATACTGTCACTCTAATGTGATCTCATGAGAGTTTGAAACTCAGTTTTTTCCTCTATTGTGATAAAATCTCAAATGGTTGACCCTTTTACCCTCCCCTTTTTTGACATCACCATCACCATCATTACTATTTTTATTAGGCACTTTATAGGAATTAAGCTAATTTCTTTAAAAATCAAACAAGAAATATTTATTGAAGGGTCATTATGTACCAGGCATTGTGTTAGGCACTGGGTATACGCCAGCAAATAAGGCAGATTTGGGATTTCAGACATTTCTTCTTGACTGCAATCACTTTTCACTCATAATACACTATTGAAACAGGTAGTGATTAAATGTTCAGACTTTGGATTCAGACCTTTGTTCTAATCTTTTTACCACTTACCATGTGTAAGTGACAGCCTCACTAAGCTTTGTTTAAAACTTATTTTATAGGTTGCTGTGACATTTAAGTGAGATGATGTTTATGAAGTGCTTAACCCATAGAAGGCACTCAAGATGATGGTGTCATCATCTTGCTTTCTCAATACTCCTTGAGATATACTCAAAAGTAACTATCCCATAACTATTTATATATGGTTTTTTTCTCAAAGGATTCATACGTATTTCTTTTTTAAAAATAATTTATCAAGTATTTTTATTTCATTTATCTCCACAGTTTTCAATTTCCCTTGATTTTAAGATTTAACCTTACTTAAAAATTTTGAAAATATGAAAATTATTTTTTTTAATCTTTACAGAAAAGAAAATAAAGGAAAAATATATAGAAAGTAGGTCTTACTTACTTAGCAAAAGCTGAAATGACCAGGTCATTCCCTATGTGTTAACATTGGAAAATCTCACTGGAGCTATTTAGGACTTTTTACTGTGTTTTAACTCACTAAATTGTACATGTGGATAAGATTATTTGAAAATCACTGACATATATGACCTTTAAATACTAGGGGATATTTTAGACAAGTACAGCAGAAACATTGACTCTCTACTTTTTACTATTTCTTTTCATCTAAATAAAATGTTTAAACCACAAACACTTCAAAATTTGTTTTGAGTTTGACAGTGACAGTATTGTATGGCCTGTTGGAACCATTAATTTACTCTTAGGTCAGTAATGTAGTTATAAGTTTAAAAATAACTTGTTCAATTAAACCTTTTCAGTTTTCCTAAATAGGCTCAGTGGAT